AAAGCTTCTGACTCAGATATAAAAATTGGCCTTTTCCTCTAGTTAATTGTTGCATTTCATCTGTGAGTATGCTATGATAGGTTTAATGTTCCTCAAAGGATTTCCCCCCCTAAGGAAGCTTAATGAACTGTTCCTTGACAGGCTTACTCTTCCTGGAAGACCTTTAAAGAATGCAGCAGAACAGCTCTAATCCCTGTACTCTCATTCCCAGAGCATATCATGAGAGACAAATTCCAGCCATTTGCTGCCATTCTTGGAGAAATATTCATGCCACCCAAAGAGAGGCTAAGATATGAGGCCTCTGTCATTCAGACAGAAACAACAAGGCATAGGGGGGGAAATCCCAAGCATTCTCAAGAACTCCTACCTCTAAAAAAAATCGAATTAACTAGGTAATCCAAAATTTCTCTTTCACTTCAACTAGAAACAGTATATCACGGGGCCAGCTTTTACTTTTTGAGACAGTTTACAACTGTGCTATATTAGAATGTTCAAAATTAGGAGATGGTCCAAAATTTGCATAGCTAGAGATGACACAGAGCCTTGTGGGGGGGGTTTTAACCCACAACAGTTTCTACTGTCTAGTAAAACACACAAAAAGCACCCCCCTCAAGAAATACATTTTACAGCTCAAAATTTTAATTTACCACAACAGAAAGTAAAATTTACATATTGAGATTAGTTTGTTTTAAGAGGCCTTACGATCTAGCATGCAGTGAGAGGGGGGTTAATATTTGTATGCTGAAACATTAAAATGTTAGTTCAGTTTTTGTTGCTTTGTCTCCAGGGGGTTGGGTACCCCAGTCCTTTCAGAAAACCAGAGAGAATGCAACTGAGTTAAGTGCTCCTGTTTGAAGGTGAAAGAGAGGAGGGGGTTCCCTTTGACCACAGTTACACTGTGGAATGGGGATTATAGTAAACAGAGGAATTAGATGAGACTGATAGGAGGAAACTGGCTGGCTCTAACTCAAATTTTCCTGCTGTTCTTTTTCTGAATATTACTATAGTTTTAATGGAATTCTATGAGGCGTTACTCCAGTTTAACCCCATTGATCTCTATAGGATCAGACTGAAGTAATTCTGAATAGGGTTGCACTAAAAACCAGATTATCATCAACTCGGACAAATAAAATGTTATAATTGCTCTTGGCATTAAAGTATGATGAAAAACAGAGTCCAAAAGCTCATTTCAGGCGCTTTACTTAAACTATTTAGTCAACAAAATGAACCAACTCAGTTACTTTTTGCTTCTCATCCAAATATGTAAAGACTTCTCAAGTCTTGGATCACTGGATATCGTCTGATGCCCATTTTCAGGGCTCACTAATTTAAGCATACTTGCTATTCTTACTATGTTTCCAGTTCCCTTTGCTTAATTTCAGTAAGTAACATTTGTCATTTATATTTGTTAACCAAGTGCACAAATATGCAACTTTGTATTTGTTCTCTTATACCATAAAATTCAAGCAACTGTTATACTGACAAGACTAGAATATTAATGTCTTATTTGCAGAACGTGAATCCACATGTAAAATAAACGTTCTTATAGAATCATTTCCACTCACCAAGTACCAGCAAAAAGTAAATATTCTATGTAAATTATATCCCATTTTAGATAATAGTGCTTATTTAAACAATTATATCCATTGGGTGCTCAATTACTGTGCCATGTGCCAGGAACAGATAAGCTTTTTTTAAAGTCATTTCTGTTGACCAAGATTGAAAACCAGCCCTTCTCTCAATGACTCATATTTAAAATATGTCACACTTGTGAAGTATACTTTTCCATACACACACAAACAGCATACAAGCATGAGATAAAAATCAGATCTGTCATATAGTAATTTCAAATTGTATCAAAAAAAGCTAATTAACATAATGAGTTCAGAAAGCTACCCTGAGCAAATGTAACCATTCAAGCATTCATCATCCTTGGATGTCAGCTCCTTTATGCAAAATTTAAAATTTCTATCATAAGCAGTACCATATTTTGAGAGAACCTACCATATAAACATTATGTCTTTCACATGGCCCTAATTTTTAATGATTAAAATATAGTATTTCTGATCCAGAGAGAGCCCTCTGCAGTTGTTTCCTGCAGTCTGACCAACTAGGCACTATTCAAACACAGCTATTATCACTCGAAAGTCCCTCGCCCTTCCATTGTTTCAAACAAGCATACATTTCCTTTACTAGCATGTTCCAGCCTGAGTCATCAAGAAAAAAAGAAACTTGGGGGCAAAATACCCTCTATAACAGTACAGGTACTTCCCTGTGGGAAGCAAGCAGGAAAAGGCTTAAGAAAATATGTCAAAAGGGTAGTATAAAGCATCGTGCTATGTAACAATACCTCATTTGCATGCATACTTAAGTTCATCCCTAACCTTGGCTTTAGTTTATAAAGCAACAATTCACTTGAATATTTTATGTACTGGTGATTGTTACACTGCTTGACTTGGCAAATAATCCTTTTGCATGCATTTCAACTGTGATAAAGGCTAATCACTGTTCATTTTGTGAAAATATTGTACGGAGATCAGACTGCCATAACCAAGAAGAAAAACACAACCATAAACCTGTTATCCAGACAATTATAACATGCAATAAAACTGTGGTATTGCATTGCCCAGGATCTGAACCAGGAGCCTCATGGTACCCCTTACAGTGAATAGACAACAAGGGTAATATTGGCCTCCTAGAAAGACTCCAACCTTGCCTTCAGCCATACTTGCACACACAATAATTTTTATATACTCTGTTTTTGTCTCCAGTGGAAACCAAAACAGCTTATAAACATCTTTCTCCCCCTCCCCCACTTCATTTCATCACAACCACCACTCTGTGAGGTAGGTTAGACTGAGAGAGACTGACTGGCCCAAGGTCACCCAGTTCGTTCCCATGGAAGAGTAAGTAACTGAACTTGGATCTTCCTAGTCTGCCATTCTAATCATTACATGATACTGGCTGTTTTAGGTCAAGCCTGTCTCTTCCTGGACAACAGCCAGACTCTGGCCTTGCCTGTGTGATTACATATCCTTATTTGGGATGTTGGTCCATATTCCTCCCTCTAGACTTCTTGCTTCCCTCTTTGCACAAGAGCTTCCCCTACTGACCAGCATCAGTTGCCTTACTTGCATTCTCATTCTAGCCCGTTCTTTAGTTAGGCTTTTGGACTTCAACACTGGCCTGCACTTGACTCTGCCTCTGGACTCACCCCTCCTGGAGATTGGCGTCAAATTTTTCACAAGTCCCAATTTGGATGTGACTTTTATCATCAGCACTCCACATCCTTCACTGCCTATAGCACAATACTGACACATAATTCCGGTCCACAGTATATACGATTTAGCATAAATTTCCAGTTTATTTCTTGTTGGCTGTGGGCATTATTGGAGCTGCACATACCATCCTCTATTTTAAAAAAATGATTTTCAGTTACTTCAGTACTTAGGATTTTAACACATGACAAAGTCCTTGAAGTACCCTTTTCAGGATCTCCTCAGCCAATGTTAATAATGTGTAAGAGGAGGACAATGTCTCTCATAGACTGAGGTATAATTATATTCCCTCGATTATATGGAAGTTAGCCATAGTGATATCCTTCTTCTGTTAGCAGTGGTGGTAAATTTAAACCCATACCATTTTTTAATTATGGTTAATTGGTCTGATATGGTGGGTAGTGATTCAAATCACTTCACAGACATCAAGGAGAGACATCAAGATTCAAATCACTACACAGACAAAAAGCCCATTGGGTGATTTTGGGTTAGTCACCATCTCTCATCCTAGTTAAAGGAGCGAACCATGTATGCTGCCCTGAGCTCTGGAGAATGAAGGACAGGATCAAAATATGAGAGACGGTGAGAGACAGAGAGAACAAATTCCACCTATTGTTCAATAATATTGTTAACTATTGTACTATGTCACCAAGCACGCAAGATAACAATATACCAATACATCCAGCCTCTTACAAAAAGTCAAATAATTAACTTTTCAATAAAATCAATCAGATCATGTGAAAACCTTACCGCAGAAGTTAGACGAGCAAGAATTTCAGCATTGGTCTCAGTTGTGTCTTCTATTTTCTGATTGTTCCTTTTTAAAAGGGGAAGAGAAAGATGTTAAACTGTACACAGAATGCATACATTCATCTGATGACAACTGCTCTTAGCTTGATGCACATAAAGAAAGAATCAAACATATTTGGTGCAGGGAGCCATTATGAAGCAAATAAATATTATATAACAAACTGTCTCTAAATCTTTTTTATAAATCCAAGGATATTCTATACAGACATGCCCAAATTAAAACAGTAGCATGCTGTTGAAACCAAAAGGTGCAAAATTGAAGCTTCTATTGCCTTTCAACCTTCTTTTCAGTAGCATATACTAAAACTGATGATGAATTATTCCACAACGGATTTGGAAAGATCATTGAAATCAGCCTTTCCTCATTACCTTAGGATTTCCAGACCCAGATCTAAGAAAGGCATCCTGCTTGTTAAAGAGTTACACAGGACCTAGAACGTCTTCCACCCAGACACCTTATACAAGTAAAAGAAGCTGTTCTACAGGTAAGCCTGTCATCCCCTATGCATCCTTGCTCTATAGTCCCCCTAAGCTTCCCTTGCCACACACTCCTGTCTCACAAAGGACTGACACTGACATTTCCTTACTTCCCCAGTCCCCACCTTTCTTTTCTCCCTACCATCTTCAACTGTATGACTCCTTCACCATGGTGATGACAGAAGTGCTGTCAGAATATAGCCTTACAAAAGCAAAATTCTAAGTATTTGTAAGTATCTGTTTCCCCAAGTGCTGCTAGAATACAGTGATATCACACTAGCACCACCCACAATGAGGTTATGAAATCATCTGATGACCTGTGGCTATTCTATTGCAACCATTATGATCTACAAAATTTATTACTACAGCTAACACCATTCAGGGACTGCTAGCTTTATGTGGATAAAAACAAGAATGTTATTCAGATATTATTGTCATGAGGCAATAATCCTACATCATAAAATGCACGAACAAAAGGAAAGAGGATAGGTACATAATCCATTCAGCTGCACAGTATTCATCAAGAACAGTTACAAGAAGGTATACTTACAGATTGCATGCACTAATCCTCGGAGGAATCACAGGCACTAATTGCAATAAAAGTTTAACACCATTTTTCCATCCTTCATCTCGTTCATATTCACAGAAAAGATATGTACACTCATCAGCAGAGAACTGGTAGAAAGCATAGTTATCTTGAAAACAGATCTGTCTGTCCACTGTTGGGGGGGGGAGAGATAAATTCAATATTAGAAAGTTTCTTCCAGCAACTTGCCACAAAACAAGAATCACCAGCAAAATGTTAAATGAATTCTTGGACATTCATCCTCTAGTTTGATTTAGTCATTATTAAGGGCATGTTTATACATGCAATGAATCGACATGGTTAGAACTGACCGAGAAACCATATTTCAAAAACCAGTTTTCCAATGGCAGGCCACTTTTGTAAGCAGCTAGTGTGATGTAAAGGTGTACAGGAATCACATTATAGGCAGTGGCAGACACACAAAAAATGCCGCAAATGTAAATCCCAGAAACTGAAGCATATGCAGAAGTGACATGAGCCCTTAAGGAATAGGGGTGGGCACAGTCATAGCAATGAAAAAGAGAATCTTAAACACATTGTGAGCAGTGTTCCCTCTAAGCTGAGTTAGTGTGAGCTAGCTCACATTTGTTTAGCCTCTGGCTCACACATTTTTGTCTTAGCTCAGGAAGGATGGCTACAGAGCAAACTAATTTATGCAGTAGCCAAATTGCTTGCTCACAATTTTAATGCCAGTAGCTCACAAAGTAGAATTTCTGCTCACAAGACTCAACAGCTTAGAGGGAACATTGATTGTGAGAAGCCTGAAGACTACACATGTGATAGGAAGGAAAGGTTCCATAATGTTCTTGGTGAAAGCAGGCTATGAAATTCAGAAAAACATAAGAAGGATGAGCATTTCTTATCAAAAAAGGTACTGGGGCAGGACTATTTGACTATAGCCAGGATATGGGCGGAGATCAAAATATCAGGCTCACAGTTCTGTGGACTCTGTTAATGACTGACAAGAAAGAGTAAGGTAAAGCATTTTCCTTTACAAAAGCCATCCTTCAGTATGTGTATCAGAACACCCTCTCTACACATTCTCTATAAATACTATCAGCTGCATCAGAATATTATTAGTATTCAGGATATGAAAGATAACAAATGAAAAATAAGTGTATCCCATAAGTGGGATATCAGGAGTAAATTTTTAGAAAGGGTATCTACCTTTTCCCATATTCCTCTGTGAGCATCATAAATCTAATGCCTAGAAAAGCATGAGCATGGCAAATGAAACTTTCTTTTAACCTATTAGGCTGATTTTGTAAAACTGACCTGATAACATAATTCCCATGTTCAATAGGAGCTGCCAGACACCAGCTGCTGTAGACCTGCTCTTAATGAAAGGGCAGTACGTTAAGAGCCAGTCTATGAGTTCGGATCCACTGCAACTTCTCCTAAGCAAAGACAATAAGATTGTAAGTCTACATTCTAAAGAACACATATACGATCAAGCTCCACCACACTCCACAGGACTGACTGCAGAATTTATGTGCCACATGAAGCAATGTTTAAAGAACAATATCTACAGTTAATGGAAAACATGGAGCCCAATAATAATCTTCGCCTTGGAGGAAAATTATGAAGCACATAAGTTTAGTAGTACATGAGCATTTTTAAATCATATCTGTACCCCACCTCTCCTTCAAGAATTTCAGGAGACACATAGAGATATCCTCCTCTATTTCTTATAAATACCTTGTGACACAAGTTAGACTCAGTAAATTACTGAGTAAATTACCAAGCCATAGAGATACTGTTTTACTTTCCATGCATAGTGGTAGGACCAGAAGGAAAAGAAAGCACAGGATTATCTAATATACGATGCACATCCTTTCCTAGCACATGCCACTAAATCTCACACTAGTGTTAAAAGAACAAGACTTCAGTTCATCAGTTTACACAAAGCCTTTCATCCATTCTCTGTCTTCACACTCCCTCTCATTTTTTCAAGACTTGGCAAGTTATTTCTTCAAGGTAGATTTTTATTAGCCTTTCAAAACAGGCTTATACAGGTGATTTGATTTATTCATAAGTAAGTTGAGACTTCCTTCATCTTCTCCAAGTCATTTAGTTCCCCCCATCCCAGCTTTGGAATTTGGCTGTCTTATTAACCACTAGTGCTGACATTCATGTGAAAAATAGGAAGCTGGGTTTGGTATTTATTTTTTATTTATTGAATTTGATTTTAGACCTCCCTCCCCTGGAGGGACCATGCTCAAGGTGGTGTACAACCTGATATCATATAAACATTGTTAAAAACTAATTAAAACCAATAAAACATAGCAGTTCCAAAAGATGGCATTAAAATTTCCTGATGGTGTCACTGGCATGGGGGGGCAAGGGGTGGGAGTGCCAGAAGATGGAATCATCGGTGTCCTCAACCAAATGCCTGGGGGAACATCTCTGCCTTACAGGCCCTGCAGAACTGTATCAGGTCCCACAGAGCATGGATGTTATTCAACAGAGAGTTCCACCAGGTAGAACTTAAATACCTTGAGGACAACTGGATATCTCTCGGGCTGGGGACCACCAGCAGATTTTGATTTATTCAGTGTACTGCTCTCCTGGGGGTATACCAGGAGAGGCAGTCCTGAAGATATGTGGGTCCTGGACCGTTAAGGACCTTGAAGGTCAGTACCAGATCCTTGAACTTGATCTGGTACTCCACTGGAAGCCAGTGCAGCACAGGGTGGATGTGTGCTGTACACGGAGCCCCTGTGAGGACCCACGCAGCCGCATTTTCTGGGTCAACCTCAAAGGTAGGCCCACATACAGCAAGTTACAGTAATCCAGCCTGGAGGTGATCATTGCGTGGATTACTACAACTAGATTGGGGCGAGATAGGTGTGAGGCCAGTTGCCTGAGCTGGCGCAGTTGGAAGAATGCCAGTCTGGCAACATTTGTGACCTGGGCCTCCATTTTTAAGGAGGTATCCAGGATCACACTCAGGCTCTTGATACTGAAAAACAGTCACAAGGGCACACTGTCAAGAGCTGGGAGTTAGCACTACAAACCGCGTTCCCTTTAAACAGGGGTCACTTCGTAGAAAAAGAGCCACACACCCCACCCCAAAGGTCCTGGCCGCCACCGCCGGCCTTGCAGCTCCACTGCCGAGCCCCATGAGGGGCCCGGCGGTGGACCTGAAAGCCCGGCGGGAGTGCAAGGAAGCCCCACGAAGGCCCTCCCTGGCCCCAGGCAGGCAGGGGTGGGGAGAGGCAGGGAGGAAGCAACTTACCCTCCCTCTTCTCCTGCCTCCTCCTGGCTGAATGAGGGCCGGACGCGGGGCGGCCGGAAGCAGGGGGCGGGGCTTCGTCATGTGCCCCCCCCCGTACCTCACCCGGGGGAACTGCGTTCCCCTGCGTTCCCCCCGAAATGACCTCTGTCTTTAAATACATTTTCCCCCTTCCACTAAAACCAATGGAGGATGTGGGCACCTTCTTTGGGGGCCCATAGAATTGGACCCCTGGTCCAAAATTTTTGAAACTTGGAGGGGGGGTTAGGAGAGGCACCAGCAGCTATGCTGAAAATTTGGTACCTCCCTAGACCCCTGAGTTCCCCATTATATATTAAGGGGGCCATGGGCTATAATGGTCCCCATAGGGTTTAATGGAACTGAAAAAAATCAGGATTTCTGAAAAATTCTGAATCTTAATACCAAGCCAGTACTGGGATTTGGGAGTATCAGATAATGCCAATATTTGGGGGGTTCCATGTACCTGAACCCAATTTTTTGCACACCCCTAATAGGAAGAGCACACACCTCACTAGCATGCTAAAAGTATCGGACATTTCCAGAATCAGCAACCCAGCTTCTGAAAGACTGTACATTAGATGGATCACTAATATTAATTTGAATTCTTTTAAGAAAAGACAATTTCTTATTTGAAACAGGAACTAAGAGGATGATTTCAAAAATAAGGTTTGGAGATATGCTATACAAAAATCATATTAAAATAAAATACTAAATTTTGCTTGCTTTCATTAGCAAAGCTAACAGACTAGTCTTTGCTTTGAATTCATCAGTATTTCAAGGTGGTTATTTAGCAAATTTGTCTTTCATTTTAGTAAGATTTGCTGTGTTTTTCTGCAGAGCTCACAAATAACATCAATTTACAGTTTGACAGAATAATAATCTGAATCCTATTTTAAATCCAATAGTTCATATAGATGAACATTTCTAAAAGTCTAGCAACTATTTTGAGGGGAGAAAGACCAATTATACATGGTTAGCCAATTTTTAACTTTGTTCTCATACTCTCTAAAATATTATTAGAATTGCACAGCAGCTCCCTCATATCAAATGTTATGAATCAATATAATTTTGTTTGCATTTATACAAGAAAATGTACCACTGTTCAAATCAGAATCACTGCTATGCTGCCTCCCTGAGGGCAGATTTTTATGACAATTTTTTTTCATTTGAAGATTGCTGTTATGAATTAAGAGATACTTGGCATCTTAATACAGGTCACTTATCAAATGACTACCTAGCTCAGCTTGGCACTCGACTCCCCTCCCATTACAGGTGTTCACTATCTTAGCAAAACTAAGGAGCAGGCTCTCTGCTTTTCTTGATTAGATTTGAATTTGGCATAATTATATTCCATGGACCCTTATGTCTGTTGCATTTTTTTCATACCGCCTACATAAAAGTTCTGCCTAAGGAACAGCCACTCATTGCATAAGAAGAACTGGTTTCTATCCACAAAAACGTATGGAATAAAATGGTGTGTGTGTTTTTAAGGTGCTACCAGACTCATATTTATTTTTGCTGCAACCAACTATTACAGCTACCTCTCTGGAATTATTGTCAAGGATAACCCCCTTCATACACTGGCATGCAGACAACAGCTCAGGAAGAAAGTAGGATAAAGTAGGATCATCTGTCCACTGGGCCATAACATTAGCACCATGGCTCACTTAGCCTGCAGATCCAAGGGAGAAAAGAACAGCAAGAAGAATGCCATGTTTTGTTAAAACAAAAGGTAAACATAGGTACCTGCTAAGTCCCACCAAGGACATTCTATCTTTCATCATATCGGAAGCTTGTAGAATGAAAACATTTCTGAGAGCTCTCCCAGCACATACGGCATCTTCACTGTAAACCTGAATGAGAAGATAAATTGAGCATACAATTATGTGAGCCTACAAGAGTACAGCATTTAAAAAGCTCTCTAGAAGTTACAGAACACGTTTATCAAGTACAAGCATGAATTCACTGAGCGTTTTGCATGTATATTCAATATTCCTTAGCAATATTAAAGCATGTTTACATTAGAAAACTTTAGCATTTAATGAGGTTTAAGAAATACCTTGCTGGAAGGATTCTCCAGATATGGATTTGAAATCCTTCTGGATATAATCTGCAAGAGAAATATCTTGTGAGTAATATTTAGCAAATATATAAAACATAACGAATAAATTTGCAATTAATGTACAATAATGAAACCTTGAAAAGCACTTGGAACAAATTTCTAATTATTAAAAAGATACTGAGGCACTTGGAGGAGCTAGTTTCATTTCTACCATTAAAGGGGGGAGGGGAGAGGGAGAGGGAAAGAAGCAACTGCAGGGCAACCTTCCTAGCACCCATACTTTTCACCCATGGAGGGGGAAAGTATCAGGTAAACTCCCAAGTCTAAATCAGAATGTCTTCCTGCTTTCACTTTCTTTTGCTGGATCCCAGATCAGAATAGTAGGCTGTACTGTTCTATTACTAGGGTTGCCAAATCGGGCCGGGGGGCGGGGAACCCCCCGCTTCCGCGGCCCGATTTCCGGCGCAGGGGAATTTCGGAGCCACGCCCCCAACGTCAGCACGTCGTCCTTCACTTCCGGCGACGTGCTACCGGCGCGCGCGCACGTCCACCCGACTCCTGGACCGCGGCGATGCTCCCCCGCCGCGGGGGGAAGAAGATTTGGCAACCCTATCTATTACTCTGTGTTGGTACTTAAGAAAGCTTTGGCTTGACAAAAAAAACCTGAGACTGTGAGTCAAAACACATTCTCCAAAATGGGATCATATGAACAAGTGTGCAAAGAATCACCTGCTTCCCCCCAGGATCCCCTTTGCCAAATGAAGAACCCAAGGAGAGCAGGGTGGGAGGAGGAGATGGAGAGTACCATCCACTCACTGCAGGATTCCTGCAGAGGGTCTGGTGCTGCCAGGCTCACTGTCCCCACTGCTGCCTGTGTGCAAGGAGAGCCTGCAGTTAAGGGGCAGCTGCCACTCCTGCTGGAAAGCTCACTCGCTAAGCGCATGAGTTGCTCTCCCGCAGAAATGCATCTTTCCTACTCCTCACTTGCCCCCAGTGAGTATGTGAATGCCAGTTTTGCACATGCCCATTCAAGACAAGGATGCTGCCATGGTACCTTTACCTAAAATTCAGCCACTTTGCAGGAAAATGTGCAGAGAAGCATGCTCCAGTCACCTTCCATGCATACCTCTGACTCTCTTCCGGGGAAGGGCCTCTTCAGGCCACCATGGATTGCCATGTCTAGGGCAGGGAAAGGATGACAGAGAACTAAAGCGGGCCAAGCCCAAGCACTCACAGGTCGCTGCAGGCCTTGCCATGACAAGACACTCCTTCTGGCTGCCCCGGTCTTGCAAAGCACACAGATGAGTGGAGCTGCCAATCATTACCAGGGACAAACCCTGCTGAAGGTCATCTCTCCCCCTGCCCCAATGCACCCCGATCCCCTTCCTTCAGAGCCTGCCAGTGGAGACCAGCAAGTGCACAATACAGTGTGACAAGGAGACTACTCCTTCTGGCCCACCTCACTTGCATCTGGACTGAGTCCAACCCTTTCACCCTCCAGCCCTCCCTGCCCCCTGGCTATCACTCGGCTCACCAGAAGACTGGGAAGGAGAGAGGCGAGGTCACTGCCTTCGCCTGCCCCATGCCTGGCTCACCTGCCACCTGCTAGTCACCCTGTGCTCAGAAAAGAATCTGTGTACTAAGAGGCCAAAAGTTGTGGGCGAGCACAGGCCAGCACATGTTAAAGGGAACACTGGTGGTTAGTAGGGTTGCCAGGTCCATCTTCGTCCCCAGTGCGGGACTTTGGGTGGTGTTCCTGGAGGGGGCAGGGCATCCCCAATGTGATGATGTCATGTTGGGACATCCCGGCTCCAAGCCCCAGCCCCACAGGGATGGTTCTGCCGGCTGCGAGCCACAGCTGGAGGGCCCTGTGCACCCGATCTCCGAGCAGCATTGCCACTGGGAAATTGGGCATGCTGGGCCCTTTAGCCCTGGCTGCCTGTACTTAAAGGTTTCCCTTTAAGTGCAGGCAGCCAGAAGGCCCCGCACACCCAATTTCCAATTGGGAATGCTGCTCAGAGATCAGGCGCACGGGCTGCCTCCGCTTAAAGGGTTCCCTTTAAGTGCAGGCAGCCAGAGGGCCCCGTACGCCCAAACTCCAAGTGAGAATGCAGCTCAGAGATCAGGTGCAGGGCCCACAGCTGCCCCTCTCCCTCCTCTCTCTCAAGAGAAGGGAGAGGGTTGGCTGCAGGTATTGGGGCTTGGGGGTGGGGCTTCCCCCACTAGTCAGCTGGCTGGCAGCAGGTTCAACCTCCCCCCAAAAAGTGGGTAACCCCCGCCAAACCGGGGGATCTGGCAACCGTAGTGGTTAGAGTGTTGGACTACAGCCTGGGAAACCCAGGCTTGAATCCCCACTCTGTCACAGAACCTTGCTGAGTGACCTTGGGCCAGTCATGCACTTTCAGTCTATCCTACCTTACAGGGTGGTTGTGAAGATGAAATGGAGGAGAGGAGAATGATATAAGCCACTTTGACTCCTCCACTTGGGAGGAAGGTGGAGTATAAATGAAGTAAATACAAATAAGTATCAGTTCCCCTGGAGGAAGTGCCAGCTTCAGAAAGTATACTTTACAGAATTACAAGGGAGAAATCTCAAATAGCAGAAACATTGCTGAAATTATGCTCATTGTGCACTAGCAGAAAAGTAGGTCACACTGTATCAATGAAAAAGTATGGCGTTAGCACTGTTCTTCAAGGTGAACACTCAGAACTAATTTTAACAGAAGATATGATTTTGAAATAACGGATTTGATCCATGTTTGTGAACTAATGCAATTTCTATTTATATATGCATGCAGTGAAACACAATGCTTTAAATCATACAATTTGTATTATTTAGGACTCTATTCCATGGAAAACAAGAGACAGCACAATATAGAACTGAACAGAATAGCCCTAGATCTATTTTCTTTCCCGTGCTCAAATAATTATTATAAAAGTGTCACATTCCTTTTAAGCTTGCTTACCCTTTATAATGTGCATATCATTCCTCTGGCAGCCTACGCCTCAGAATCTCTCCCACACCGACCAGTTTCCAGATTTTATTGTTTTTTCATCAACAAAAGAGCCAAAGACTACATCTTTACTACAAGCTACACAAAATTGCTATAGTCTTGAATTTCCAACAAGACAGAGATTCAAACCTTGCCTACAGCTATGGAATAGTGATTTCCTACCTTCTCCTGATCACATGGTTGGATTTATTTGTTTCAGGTAGAGTGTAGTTAAACTACAGAAAGATGAGGTATGGGATCTGAGTCTGGCATTAATTCATCTGTCCTCACATTTCTGTCTAGTCTAAGGATATTTGTCCCATGCCACAACTCTGCAACTGCAGTGTACATGGGGATTCTGAATTGTGCATGTACTCAGTGTTTGTAGAGCCTCCATTATGCCCAGACAAGACAGGTCTTGGCCTTTCACCAGACTACCTACCCACTCTAAATAGGTTTATTCTCCAGAATAAAGCATAGAAAAGTGTTTCCCCAGTCCCTTTCAATACAGAACTCCCCAGTCCCTTTCAATACAGAACTCAAAGTTTTCATTCCTTTACAAGACTCATGCAAACCAGGCAGTAATCTGGGGTGTGGCTTTGTTTTAAAGTGAAGGTTCTGTCCATCCTCTCACATTTAAACAGTTGCCCATAGTGTGATGGACTCTCACTAGAAACAGCCAGAAGTCTGCATACTGCCTCTATGGGACCAAGTCTACCCCTTCCAAAGATTCATAAGAACTGTAGGAAAGTATTTGACTGGAAAGCTTAACAGCATGAGCAACAACCATAAGACTGCTTCCATGCACATACAATGCCACTAGCAGTTCTCACTGGAAGTACAAACGGCTGGATGTAACCGGATGAAAAAGAAAGGGACACACACACCCTTGACTGCCCAAAATGCTATGTTTGGGGTCAACGGGCCTGCACGGATAGCCATGTAGAACAGGGGCAAATTGGGTTAGGGTTAGGCAAATTGGCTCAGAATGAGTGAGAAAGCTGTCTGGATCCAACCCAAAGCTTACAAATACATTTTGCATCAGTCAGAATGCTCTGCTGCATGACATAAAAATAAATGTGTGTGAAGTTCTTGCCACTGCTTGTTTATATGTAAGCTTAAACTTTACATCATTCAGTACTGACGGATGAACTAATTTCTTAACCAGCTGCTTTCTATACTGGCTCCCATATTCAACTGAATTGAGTTTTTAAAGCAATAATGGAATGATGAGAAACTAGAGAGAAGTTGGGCTAGTATCCCTGGGACTGCCAACCTCCAAGTGGCAGCTGGAGGTCTCCTGGGATTACAACTGATCTCCAGGCGACCGAGACCAGTTCCCTTGAAGAGAACGGCTGCTATGGCATTATACTCCACTGAAGCCCCGCCTCTCCCCAAACCCCCACCCTCCCCAGGCTCCACCCCTAAAATCTCCAGGTATTTCCCAACTCGGAGCTAGCAACCCTAGTTACCCTTCTATGTGTTTATATACTACAACAATTTTACCATAACTTTAATAAAATCATGAGAAACTGTGAAGAAGTTAGTGTTATTATTTTCATTTGTAGTCTAGAAGAAGAAGAAGAGTTTGGATTTATACCCCGCCCTTCACTACCCAAAGGTGTCTCAGAGCGGCTTACAAACGCCTTTCCCTTCCCCTCCCCCCACAACAGACACCCTGTGAGGTAGGTGGGGCTGAGAGAACTCTTGACAGAAACTGCTCTTTTTCAAGGACAGCTCTTATCAGAGCTATGGCTTGCCCAAGGTCATCCAGCCAGATGCAAGTGGAGGAGTGGGGAATCAAACCCGGTTCTCCCAGATTAGAGTCCGCACACTTAACCACTACACCAAACTGTCTACTACTCTTACTGAGACTCAAGGTGGATTACAAGTATGATAAACTTTTCAGTCGATCAGTGAACAGTTACAAAATATGGCTACAATATGTGAACAGCAAAGATTCCTGGTAAGACAGAACAATACTGATGGGCTGGGACTCCAGAAAAGGGGGGGGGGAGAGAACAACGTATGCAAATATATCTGCTTAGGCAAAGT